AAAGAGACTTGACTGCAGAACAATGTGCATCTTCAACAAACTGGTTTGGTGAATCACGTTTTTTCTGAATTCTTAGTCAAAATCCTTGCTGTGTTTGGGCTTACATAGGCCTGCTGCAAGGACCTAAACGCAGGACTCGGAACATGGAGGAATGAACTGAAAGAGGCAGCTTTACTGTGCTGAAAAACTCAGATGCCAAAATGCAGGGAACAGAACATATAAACTGGGAAATAGGGAACTAACATGAAAACTTAAGACCTACGAAACTAAAGACTAAAAAAACTAACAAATTACACTTTAACCAGGAGCACGGAGGAATTACACACCTGTGTGAGGGTACGATGCAACAACAACTGTCTGGGAGAACCGAAAGAGCCGGTTCTCTAAAAAGAGCCGGAAATCCCATCACTACGCGATAAGGATCCGGCTCGTGTCGTTCACGTTAAAGATCTGGCTCTAAGAGCCATTTCGTTCGCGACCGACACATCACTACTGGGAAGACAGGACTAAAATTCACAAGGGAGAAATCAGGGAGTGGGAGACACAGCTGGAAGTAATCAGGCAGACGGGGAACAGAAGCTGAACACAAAACACCACTATCAAAATAAAACAGGAAGCACATGACAGGGACAGAGACACGGACTCGACACCGAGTTTTTTTTAAGCATTGTAAATCTTGTATTTTGGTCCCTATCTTTTCAAAGATAGCGGAAAAGTGGGTTGTGAATTCTATCAATGAGCATCTTAATGATTCCAACCCGGTTTGCACCCTATGCAATTCAGATTTCACACTCTTCATTCAACTGAAACGACTGTCTGCTTTTGTTCAGATGGTGAAGTCTTATTTAGACAAGAGCCGTTATGTTGCAGCTGTTTCTGTTGATTTTAAGCATGCGTTTGAGTTCTTATCTAGACTGTCAACATTTAACTTTAGTAATCACACTGCTAAATGGATACAGTCTTATTTATTAGATAGAAAACAATGCGTGCAAATAAAGAATAGTAAGTCACCCCATCTTCACTGTACGAAAGGTGTACCTCAGGGTTCAATTCTAGGCCCCCTGTTATTTTCACTCTATGTAAATGACTTGCCCAATGTGTGCAAAAATGTGGACGCGATCGTGTATGCTGATGATACGGTAATTTCTCCACAAGCCAAAGCTGCTAATTTTGCAGCCCATCAGCTTTCATTGGAATTACGCGATTTACAAAAATGGCTGAATGACTCATGCCTGTGCCTTAATTTTTTAAAAACGTATCATTGTGTTTTAGTAAACCTAAAACAACCGTGGCTGCATAAAAGTTTGATTGGGTGCACAAGAACTAATTAATGTTGAGGAATTTAAGTATTTTTTGAGTGCTACTAGACTTGAAATTATCCTTTAAAAAAACCGTTAAAGAGTAGCAAACTGTAAATGTTAATATACGGAACTTTAGACATATTCGCACTTCATTAACAGACACAGCAGCGATTACATTACTCTATGATACTGGCTCATACTCCATACTGTATTACAAGTTGGTCTTATACGAGTCTTGCTTCTATTGGGCCAATTTAAGTATGCTACAAAAGAGCATTGAAAATATTAGACAAGAAACCTTTGTCATACTACCATTGTCAAATTTTAGATAAATACAAGTTTTTAAATTTTATCAATTTCAAATTATTTAAATGTGCCTGTCTGATCTACAAGGTTATACATGGTGGGGCGCCTCCACCAATGAGTGATCTTATTAATCTAAAGTCTAGCAGTGTTGCCGGGTCTCGACTGACTCGAGCCACTGTGAGAGGTGATTATGAATTGGCATTCAGGCGGACCACCTTTTCACAGACTGCTCTGTCATATCAGAGAGTGAGCTTCTGGAATAGTCTTCCACTGTCAGTGAGGGAAAGGACAAGCCTCCCTATTTTTAGGAGTAATTTAAAAGGGTGGCTGTGATCATGTTTAATTAATCATGGTTATATATTGCACGTGAAATAGAGTTATTGTCACGGTCCTGGGTCTCCTGACCCAGCGTTTTTAGTTCTTTGTGATTTTTGTATTATTGTACTTGTGTGTGATCTATTCTATGGCTTCTAGTTTTGATCCCTTGCCCTTCATGTCTCTCTGTGTCCCCTCTGTTCTGTGTA